TCAGTCAAGAGAGAATGTCAGCAAGAAGGGATATGATAGTGGTATACAAAATAAGTAAATGATTTACAGAAGGTAAATTCAGTGCTTCTATTTACTACTTGTCCTAATACAAATATCTTCCTGTTCAATATCTTCATCAGTGATTTGGATGAGGGGGTGCAAAGCACCCTGTTCAAGTTTGCTGATGACACTAAGATGTGGGGGGATGTGGGCACATTAGAGGGGAGCAACAGGCTACAGTTGGACCTAGACAGGTTACAAGGATGGGCGGAGGAGAACAGGATGGGGTTTAACACAGACAAGTGTAAGGTGATGCACCTGGGGAGGAACAATCGGCACCATACATACAGGCTGGGGAACTCCCCTCTTGTCAGCACGGAGGTGGAAAAGGATCTGGGAGTCATTATTGACTCCAAGATGAACATGAGTCGGCAATGTGGGGAGGCGGCTAGGAAGGCCAACTGCACCTTGTCGTGCATCCACAGATGCATCTCGAGCAGGTCCAAGGAGGTGATCCTCCCCCTCTATGCGGCACTGGTCAGGCCGCAGCTGGAGTACTGCGTCCAGTTCTGGGCGCCGCACTTTAAGAGGGATGTGGACAGCATGGAGAGGGTCCAGAGGAGGGCCACTCGTATGATCAAGGGACAGCAGGGTAGGTCCTATGAGGAAAGGTTGCGGGACCTGAACCTGTTCAGCCTTCAAAAGAGAAGGCTGAGGGGGGATCTTGTGGCCTGTTATAAACTGGTTAGGGGGGATCAGCAGGCGCTGGGGGAGTCCCTGTTCCCCCGAGCGCCGCAAGGAGTGACCAGGAACAATGGTCACAAGCTGGCGGAGGGAAGGTTTAAGTTGGACATCAGGAGGCGCTACTTCACGGTCAGGGCGGCTAGGGTCTGGAACCAGCTTCCAAGTGAGGTGGTGCAGGCTCCCACCCTGGGGGTTTTTAAGAGGAGGTTGGATGACCACCTTATTGGGGTCATTTGACCCCAGTGCTCTTCCTGCCATGGCAGGGGGTCGGACTAGATGATCTGCTCAGGTCCCTTCCGACCCTAGAAACTATGAAACTATGAAATATAGGGGTCAGCCAAAAACATTTTTTTAATATAACTTATTGCACAGAAGACCTCATTGCCAAAGAGATCACTGGGGCCCAGGGCATAGCTAAAATAGTAATAATAAAAAAAGTTCACACAGACAGGCTGTTAACAGATGTTGCCTCTGTACCACCGTAACATTTTTTTATGGCAGTACAGAGGCCAAACACAGACATGCATGCACCTTGTTGTGTCACAGATGCCCAAAATTTGTGGCCATAACATAAGTGGTATGACCTTGTATTGCTATTTTGTGGCAGATGTCTGTTTGCTTTAAGGCAGGATAGTTTGGGCAGCCTGAAGCTATCAGGGGAGTGCCAAGGGATTCCCTGGTCGTACATCTTTGCATATGGGGAAACCTGGGGTATTTCTATATGTAGAGACATACACCTGGACCTGGGACACATTTCTGCAAATGGGGAACCTTGAGGGAGCCTCAGGTTTGCCTGTTTGCAGAGACATGTGCCCAGAGAATTGAACTTGGGACATGCCTCTGCAAATGTGGAAAATCTGAGGAGTGCCTGGGAATTCTCCAGGGACTCCTTTTCTCTCTAGGAAACTCCCAGGAGTGGCAGGGGCCAGACTCTGTGGGACAACAGGCAATGTGCATTTCGCCCAATGAAGTGGGCACATGCTGGCATGGCTGATCTGCTTAATTTGGTGAAATCTGTTTATACCCACAGTTATACACCAGGATAAAAAATATCAAGGCTGAAAACTCCCTTATGACAGGTTACTTAAGGTTTGTTCATCTGGAGTTGCTTTTAATCTTCTTCTATAGTCCTAATTCACAGGAGGAGATGTGATAATAGACTAGATAAACTACTAAAGTACTAATATGGATGCTCCTGTTTAGTTTTGGTGTCCTCCTCTATCTCTTTTAAGACTTTGGTTCAGTAAAGCACTTACGTGCTCACCTAGCTTGACGGTATTGGAATTAAACGTGTCTTTATATTTAGATGCTTTTCTGCCTAGAGACCCTAAATTGGCAATTTATATTATTTTTGCTCCACTTTGTTAAATTATTTCAATTATCTTACATTATGAAGGTACCTTACTAATCAGATTCTTACTTTAAAATATTCAACTGATCAGATATTTTACTCTTGCTTGAAAATTAGCTAATACTTAGCTTGCCATATTTCAAGATAGCCTACTCTCTTAAAAAATGTGTATTTGGTTACAAAACAGAGTATGCATGACCAGTTTCACAATACCAAGCTACTTTTTCAGATAAATTTTCTTAGTCTTTATTGTAAAATGTCTAAAATACATAACTAACAAATGTGTGTGGAGTTCTGATCCTGTAAACATGTTTCTTTACCTCATCTCATAAGGAACTACTAATATAGAAATTCTTTGGTGTCATATTTATGTCAAAGCCCATAAATATGTTCTTAACTTCAAGCAAGAATAAAGTCCTATTAAAAGACAAGGAGATCATGATACATGCCTTCTTAAAAAAATGTGCGTTTGATGTAGCCCTTTAGTGAGTGAGATGCCATATGGAAAATTCTTGTAACTTTGTGGTAGCCTGGTGCTTACTAGTGATAAAGTATCTTAAGACATTTAGAAAGTCTCATTCCTGTCTTCTGATTTATAAAATGATCACATACATTTTTCTCAGGTCATTTAAGAGTACGTGTTCATGAAGATAATTTGTAATTTTAGTATTGCAAGCAGCAAAGGGAATTGTATGTATCCTTTAAGATCTTAGACTGTATAGCAATGCCCTCTTGACCAAAGATTGATACTGACTTCCTTCCCCCTCTACATGTGTGCGTGATCGCTCTTTTAAGTTTCATAGAACACAGAGTACGATTCATATGAATTAAAGTAAGTCAGAGACACCTCACCATGCTCAATGAATAGTCAACAATGGCTCAATGGGTAGTTAGGAGGAGGCATCAAATGGGGGTCCTCAGGGGTATGTCCTGGCTCCAGTACCATTTAATATCTTCATTAATGATTTGGATGATGGGACTGAGTGCACACTTTGCAGATGACACCAAGTTTGTGGAATTGAAGGAGGACAGGGCTAGGATCTAGAATGACCCAGAAAGACTGGAGAGATGGTTTGCAATCAATTGGTTGTGGTTCAACCAGGGCAAATACAAAGTCTTGCATTTGAGATGGAATAATTGCATGTATAAATACAGACTGGGGGATGACTGGGTAGGCTGCAGTACTTCAGAGTATGACCTGGGCGGTGCAGTAGACCATCTGCTGAATATAAGCCACATGCTTTATATGAGCAAATAATGTGCTCTTTTTGCAAAAAAAAAAAAAAAAAAAAAAAAACACCCAGCGGGGTACGGGGTTATATAAAAAAAATTTTTTTTTAAAAAAAAGGGGG